GGGGTGGGGGTGGGGGTGGTGCTGCAGCGTTCGTTAATCTTGCGTGGACAGGGTGCAAATAACATCATGCTTGGCAGCTGCATCTATCTTCTCCTTCTGTCCTCTCGCGCTGAAGACCTTTCTAGCTTTTCTTGGTGTGGGCTTGCCCCTAAGTCACAAATACTCCGCTACAGCTGAGTGGTATAGCTGTATAGCCCTTGCTGTAGCTCAAGCCTCCATTATGAGACTCCTACACCCAGACCCATCAGTTGCCAATCAAGCCAAGCAAACCTCCTGTCTCCAGAGTCAGGCCAGGCCCAAGCTCGCATGGCATACGATGACCTGCAACCTGTCAATCATCAAGATTGTGTCTAAGCTGTTCCATGTATGTATTATGTGTATCGTATTTGGATGCTTCGGAAAGCTCGACCCAGAGTGCCTCCAGTCTTTGCAATGCTCAAAGCTAACCCGTCAATTCTCTGGATACGTCTCCTAAAATTTACGGATCTCGATAGTGAATGCAGGCACCTACAAATGATAGCAAGAACAAGCGCTCTTCACAACCTTCAGCCTTCCCCCTCTGCTCACCGCGGACTGCTGACCCAAATAGCGAGACCGTGTGCACCCTTCATGAATCCACCTTTTCGGGCTCGGCCGAATTCCACGCAACCGAAAATCAACGAGTTGACCTCAACTCTCGGGACCCCGTCCTTCAAGCAACTCGCTTCACGACACATGGCAATCATTCCCATGTTAAGCATTGTGCCAGGAAATAGGCTTTTTCAGGTGACGCAGCCATGAGCACGCGGTAGCTTATGTAGAGTCTAGGCAGAGCTCACGCGAATACCCGCACATCCACAACGCAGCTCTTGAGGAAAGGGTAAGATAAGGTAAGTACATCAAGGCCTGAAATGCTAAGCAGAACGACATCCGCCTTGTTAGGACCCTTGCTGGATTTGTTTATTTGCTGCATCTTGATATGGAAGTGGCAATCCCAAGGAGCTACCCGGAAAGTCAGCTCAGAGGGATTTCAAGGTGGTGGCAAACGTTTTCTTGGACATCCGCAAGGACTCGCAAGCCACAGGCTTTTCAAGTGCGACTCGCCCAAAAAATAGCTCACCAGGAACCTGACGTGAACGCGGAGCGCACTGGTGAAAGCTTGGCGTCCCCGCCACAGCTTGTATGAGGCCGCTTCCTGACCTGGAAGTAAATGGCAGTGATAGTGGAAGGCACACTGGTCAAGTGCAACAGCCCGCACGCAGCCTACCTCCACTGGTTTCCTTGAGCCAGAGAGTCTAAGGTTCGGCGAGCAGTTCCAAGTGTCGGAGATTGTTCGAAGCGCATAGGCCTCAACTGCTTGAGGCGTCTCTAAAAAGATGCCTCAGATGCTTTGTAATTTGCGCTCCAGCGTCTTGGTATTCATCACTGTATCCTCAACATGCCTCGAACAAGGCAGACTCCCGAACCTATTTCCGTTTGAGCGACGGGCGAGGCGCCGACAGAGCCGACAACGCTCAGCAATGGTCAGCCATATCAGTTTCAGGCTGGGTCTTTGACCGGGGGTGTGTACGAGGTGCTGTGGCCTCAGAGCATGTTTGACTTCATAAGCACACTCAATGAAGAGGTCTCGCAGCATGTCATGGGATCCATCAGACACCCTCCAACACAACCCAGGAATAGATATCCCACCCTCCTCCAGGGCCTGAAGGGCATTCGATCATGTCGTCCGCACATACCAGCACCCACGAGAGCGAGGCGATGACGCAGCTGGTCGCTCCAGTCACTGACGGGTGTGCCAACTACAGAGCCCTTGCATGCGTTTTCAGTCAGCATGCCTGCTACTGACAGGCTCTCAGCAAAGAAGCTTGCCAGAGAATCGAGCTGCTGCCCTCAGCCTTCTGCAGCGGATCATGCACATGATGAAAAGCTGAGCGTGGCCGCAACAATGCCAAACTTGATTCTCTTATGGGAGACGTGCAGATGGCGAGTCTGTCTCCAGAGCTTCTGACCTCAGGACAAAGCGTTTGCATGCGCTGCTGGGGCCAAGCCCTAAGTTTCAGATTGCAGTGGAAAGGCCAAATCGTGTGAAGAAGAGTCATCCTATGCGGGTAGGCCTTTGGCAGTACAACGACTGTGATGACATCCTGAGACCAGCTTACGGAGGTGGCTCACTTGATTGCACACGCGTCCCTTGTTTTGTGTTTCTCTGCTTCTTGGCCTGCCGGGTTGTCGCAAGGCAGCCAGGTGCAGGCATCAGACGAGCTCACATCTGAAGCTTTTGTGCGCCAGCTGAAGCTAACAGCCTCGAGACAATGTTCCGTCTTTTGGTGTTGTGCCATGCAAGCCGAATCCTTGAACACTGAGCTCAGGAGAAGCTGCTCAGCAAGACCTTGGAGCCAGCGGAGGGCTCTGTCAAAACTAGCAAGCCAACTGTGCTGATATCTGCATCTGTGAGGTGACAGAGGCCTCCATCTTTGCTGTTGTTGACGTTTTTGATTTCGGGCCATCCTTTACTTTGCAGCGCGGCCGCGCTTCAGATTTGACACCTTTTCTGCTCGTTATTCTGCTGCCTGGTGCAAAGAAGCTGGATGGAGCCACTAGCCATCACAAAGCCCTGAGGTTGGAGTATGTCGCGCGGGAGTCGTGTCCTCGGCAGCAGTCCTACTGCAGTGTGGACGTCAGCGTGCTGAGGCTGGAAGGCAAGCCAAAGGTGCGCGTGCGCATCATTGCCAACAAGATCGCAAGCTGCCAAGTGATGTCTTTGCATTGTCAGGTAGGTACTCCACAGGCCATAGGGCTAAGAGGTCACGTAGTTGCTTGTGTCGTGCCAGATTGCCCCGGGTCCACCGAATATCCATGAATGTCCAACCAACCAAACACAGAAGATGTAGCAGAAGGAGCAGCAGCAGCAGCAGCAGCAGCAGCCGCAGGGTGCGCAAGTCTCCCAGCCTTGGAGTGATCAGGCAGCGAGAGTCGGGCTGTGCGCCTGCGGGGGATAATCGCGGGTATTGCGTTTTGGCAGGGCCTGCCAGATTTGCCAAGCAGCATACAATAGCAGTCCCACTGTGAAAATGATGACGAGCTCCCATCACTCATCATGCGCTCTGAATGAAGCTGGACTCATTGGATCGTTAACGTCACTGCTTGTAGAAAACCTTGTATGGGTGCGTAGATTGCACAGACTTGGAACTTTGGAGGGCGGGGGGTATTTTGGAAAATTGCGGTTCCACAAACTCAGAGATAAAACATGCTCGGCTTAACCCGGAGAATTGATCTGATCGCTTCAAAAATTGTCTCTTAAGATTTGGGGGCGTGGACCAGTATGTCCCTTACTCGGGCGAATTACAAGGACAAGAACTCCAACCATGTGAGATTGTTGGGGGTTGAGGACCGTAGATTCCATAGGGTGCTTTTCCTCAAGACTGGACTGTCAAAGCTGGGACTGCAAGTTTCCAATAGGTCAGGTTCCCCCTTCTGCAGGACGTTTGGTGCTAGGTAGGTTGGTTATAGTGGGAAAAATAGGCTACTTCCTGTGTGTTACTTGTAGGTCCCGTAGGCTGGTTTCAGTCTTGGGGCAGTGCATTGAGAATATAGGTCACCAAGGCGGGGCAAAACATGTTCTCTGTAAGTAAGGTTGACCGGGAACTAGAAGTGCACGCTCGGGCTCCCGTATAGCATCAAATTCTTTCAAACCTAGATCAACACCGCTTCAATCTCGAGACAGTGGAACGAATGTGTGGCAATGCTATCCCTGCACGTAAAGTCTACCTATCCTTGCAACCCACAGTATACAACGCAAGTGCAAGTCATAAGGCAATATTCCCATCTGGGAACCGCCCGATTCCTAGCACAACATATAAAGCAACAGCATGTAAGAGGGCTTTGTGGAGTTTAGCTGTTTAGCAGTCAAGTGGAAGGTGCCCACCATGACATCTGTCCGAGCGTACGCCCAGAAGGTTTCCCGTCACCTTTTGCCAAGAGGGAATCAATGTAATCCCTGTAATGGGCAAGGCAAATGCCAGGTAGGGATCCGTTCATGGGGTCCATTCTGGACTCCATAGACATTTCTAGAAATATTCCATCTCTCTTTGTGTTTATGGGAAGCAGCAGGCCTTATCTGCTTTAGGATGACAACACTGCATGGTTGGCAAAACATAGATTGAAGAGCGCCTGGAATATGAATACCAAGCAGTCTTGAACTGCAATCCAGGGTTGCTTATCACGAAAAATCAGGCTGTCCCTGTTCGGTGCGTGCCCATGATCGCTGGATGTTGCTCTCGCGACTCTTGCTTGGTCATTGCACGATGATCATCACGCCTTCTTGTTGCATCACTCTTTGAATGCTTTATCTGGAAATCACAGGCAGCAGTTGTTGAACTGCTGGAGGAATAGCCCACACCTTTTCACCCCTTATGCAAGATTGTCTTCCAATTCTGATAGACCGCGCAAATTACCCAAAATTGCAAATCAGCAAATGATGAGCCTTGCAATCAAACAAAAAATCGTTCCCAATTTTACAAGAATTTGCAAAAGTCTGTGGAAAGAAGAGAGTTGTCTCTGCTCCACAATAAAGATACAAGAGTACCCAGCTGACTTGAGAGAAGTGAAACTCCAGTTCCTTCCAGGTCTCCACAACAATGATTGCCCACTGCCTGGTGATAGCATTCGTAAGTTGGGTAAGACTTTCACCAAGTGAGCTATTCAAAGTCTTGTAGCAAGATCCATTATCGAAAATGGTTGACTCCATTTCTTCTTCGAGCCTTTGTTTTCCAGTTCTTCCAACAACATAGGTCTGCAGAACACCATAGCCTGCGGGACTCCACAATTCCCAGTGAGGTTTATTTCTTGATCTTCCCACTGAAGTTAAAACAAAACCAAGAGCAACCGTGCATCGTTGTTGGTAGAAGATCCGTCATCAGTTTCAGTTTATAATACAAGTATGTTGTCAGGGTTGCTCAACAACTCTGTTTCCAACAATCTGCAAAGGTCCAAACTCTAGGATAGTTATCCAAAAGGCCTTGTATAAGACTCCGTTTCCAAATATCCTTCATGATGTTGAACAAATCTAGAACGCCTTGGAGCCATGTAGGCATCATATAGTTCCTCCTTAAGGCAGAAGTTACGAACAAGTTCAGGCGGTCTACAGACGCCTGACTACCTGCACAAAATTATAGCATGCGCTGGAGAGCAAGACCGATAATTGCAGATAATCAGATATATTGGGGATCCTAGCTCATAGGCTTTACGTGTTTGAGAGGCTGTACTGTCCGACTTGTTATGGTTTAAGACTTGCTAGGATTGCGCATGAACCCAACAAAACCGAAATACCTGCATAGCCAGATGTAGCAGCAGACGTCAACTCATGCGGTTTTCAAGAAATGGCTTGAGCAGTTGTTGTACTCAAGCTATCTTCTTTTCTTGAATATATTCTATGTAGAATGGAGGACGCCTTATGCAAAAGCAAGTCCACTAAATACAGTTGGGCTTTGTACATAGACCTGCCAAGCTTCCAAGCGTTTTCAGGAAATCCAAAAAGTGGTACTTGGGTGATCTTGGGTGCATTTTTGTTGCTTGACGGCATGGCAGGGCACACAGACGCATGGCGGTCCTTTTCACTACAGAAAGCGCACACAAACAGGTAGGATCATCTTAAGGAACATGGTTTGCCTTTTTTTAGAAATTAGAGCTACACCGTACAAATTCAAGGTACTACTGCTACCTACGCTTTCAAAGTGGAAGCATGAGAGGTCATGGCTACTACAGGCCTACACCCTTCTTGACTTCCAAATGGCTGCAGGGGGGATGTGCTTTGAAGACTTGCTCATGCACACCAGCACTTGTTATAACGTTTCCGTCATTTCAGGAAATTATGGAAGTTGTTAATCAACTGTACTTAGGTAGCAAGTAGAATTTAGGCCATTCCAAGAACTATTGGGATGCTCCGTACATTGCTACGGTATTTTGTAGAAAAATGCCCCCCCGCTCTGCAGTGCTTAGACTGCAGAGCACACACGCGGGGCATGGGTGCCCGTTTGTCCCGCCAGTACATAGGGCATCCTGACTGAACCTACTTGGACCCAAAAATTTGGATCACGAATGCTTTGAAGACTTGCTCATGCACACCAGCACTCCCCCCGCTCTGCAGTGCTTAGACTGCAGAGCGCACACGCGGGCATGGGTGCCCTTTTGTCCCGCCAGGACATAAGGCATCCTGACTAAAACTACTTGGACCCAAAGATTTGGATCACTAACACCCTTAGGACCGACCTCTCAAAGAGAAGAACTTCGCTTTCGCAATGGCATGTTTTTCCACACCAAAATGGTGGTGGAAACAGGGACAAGAGCCCCAGGTTGCATCACTTTGCAATGATTTCCGCAGCCACACAAGCCAATAACTTGAAGCTTTTGTGGAAGTTGTAGCACTTCTCTGATTCCTGAGGTGGGAGTGCCTTTTTGATTAACAGAAAGGTAACTTGAACCCTTCGTCAAGGTTTGTAACCATGAGGTCCCTCAAAACTAGGATTACAATCCGTTTGGGGCTCCTGGATCAGCAATGATCCGGCAGTCTGATAACTGACATTATAGAACACCTCAGGTGGGTTCCTAGCACTGGGAAGTAGTTCTTCCCTGAGGAGTAGTAGATAAATTCTATCCAAGTTCTTTAATTGGATCGCATTCACCATTTCTACACCCTCTTGGAAGATCCTAGCCGGGAATCCTTGCTTGTGAGAAAGGAACGTCAGCTCCAACATACACAGCCGATTCATGGCCACTATCGGCCCTGTATTTGGTCTATCACCGGGGCTTGATACGTTAGTGAGGATCATCGGTCCTTGGCTGGTACCGGTGATGGACAAAAACGCAAGCGTTTTCCAACTGTAGATTTGGCAGCCGGACGTACCACAGCTTCAGGAAAGTCTGCCTTTAGGGACGGCTTTACTACATCGGACTGAGCAGCTTTTATCAAGCGAGGCTGTAAAGCTGAGGCAATTGGACAATTTGCCCCAGGAGTTCCTGTGCACTAGGCCTTTTATCCAAGGAGGCGGCTTGATGGTCAACTCTTCAGAGACCAAGCCTTTTGGGACTGATGCTGCTCCTACGTCCACAACGCCAGGAGCCGGAGCCTCAGGGGCCTCCTCCAGAGGATCATAATCAACCTTAAGCTTTATCATTGAAGGCTCTATGACCTGGGGCTTTGATTCATCCCCACTAGCCCCAGGCTTTGCGTTTAATGTTTCAACTGGCTTATCGCCCTTTGTGTTTGTCCACTGCCTTAACCTTCGGGGTAGGACGCATAATGGGACGCGGGGCAGCGCTGTGGAGTCTTGACTTTTTTGCCTTTCTTCAATCGAAGTGGTTTCAAATGTCTTTGGAGGAGTAGGTGGAGGTGCAAGGTTGCGCATGAGTTGGCTTGACAACTCTGTACCCTTCAAGATCGGCTTGTTTAGGTCTGGCCTTTTTTGTGACGGACTTGACAGCACTGGACTTGCAGGTACAACTTCCTCAAGGTCACCTGAAACAACTTCGATGATCTCCTTTTTGACTGGCACGCGTGGGAAGACGACTACTGGCTTAGGCTTTTCACTTTCGATAGCCCGGCCCTTACTCACACACTGGCTCCTAGGTGGAGTGGGAGGTCTACGTGTTAGCCTTGCAACCGCCTTCCACACGACCAGTTCTTCCGCCAGCCTTAGCCTTCTTCCTATAGGTAGTCTTCTTTTTGCATGGCTTTATAAGGCT